TCCATTGCTACTATAATTCAATTAATTTGTCATCGCACCTTTGATACTGATAGAAGGCAAACCTGGGAATAATGAATAGATATATGTAGGCCGTACCTTCACAATACAGTTACCAGACCTGCCACTCTATGAAGCCTCAAAATTAGGATCTCAGGGAGAGAAAAATCGGGATCAACAGCAAATCACCAAGGTGACTGCCAAAGCTGACTTTAAAATTTTCCATGGGTGTCCATAAATTACTCGGCATATATGCTCTCTGTGTGTCTTTGCGTGCGTGTTATTATTTTTGGTAAATCCTGAAGCATCACGTCAAGCACTCCTAGTCCAAAAGTCTCTACCCCCCCCAACCAATAAGTCCCGAAATACATGAACTTAGGTTGACCCCGTCAACGGACGGTCCCCGACACGCAGAACTCACAAGGCGATGTCATGTCACGTGATCATGCGTATGCGCGATTGAAACAATTTTACTAACAGGTCCGACTAACTGCATGTTCAAACAAAATACTCAGATGAGAAACAGTCGTTCTACTTCTAGGATAACGACGGCGGCCGACCGACCAAATTAATGTACCAACATATCTCTTATCCCTCATAATGCGCAGTTTACATGTAGTTGTGTAAGGGTTAGAACGACTGTCGCTCGTCCGAATCTTCGCAATGATAGAGAGAATTACCGTAAATATCCGTAACTTATACAAGACATACGAAGGCGAGTACGGATCTTTTGCTACGGAATTTCGGTAGTCCTACGCTGTCGCAGATTTTTACGGAGGGAGTTGATGATGATGGAGGAACAAGTACGGAACTAGCAGAAAGTACGGATTTCCGTAAAAATACGGAAGAGTGGAAGCACTGGTAACTACCGCACCACTGGTACCGGTTGTGTGGTCTATGAAGATCAAAACCCTGCTAGTGACACCCAACATAGGCAGACACTCACTTCACAGAAAACAAATGGAAATATAGCAAACATCAGAAAAGAAGTTCAACATGTGGTTAAAGAAATGTCCCCCCAGTTTCACAAGTCAGGACAGTCCTGGAAAATTTAGGACAGTTGGCAAGTCTGTACTATAAATTAGTATAAAGTTAATTTGGACCTATATCAAGACATGAGTACAGCTGCCTGCAGTTTCACTCACCACTTTTTCTTCCTTTATAGAATCCTGGAAAAAGTAAAAGTAAGGGATTTCATCTGTCTCCCCCTCTGGTGTCTCCCATTTCAAAAGGACCATGGTACCATCTGGATCCATTGACTCTCCTGGAGAAAAAAACAACAATACACATATTTAAGTATCATTTAACACCCCACACAAAAAAACTTGCTTTAGTAAGCATCTTGCAAAACAATTGGGTAATAAATTACAGGTGTTACAAGAGAGTAATGAACTCACAAAAAAGAAGACGAGACAAGGGCAACGGCAACAGATGTCAAGATGTGTTGACAAGAAAAAAGGTGCAAACCACACAGGCCACCAAGTTCTTTGTTTGAGTATAGAGAAGCACATCAACAGTGGCGCTCCCCAAACCACCGGCTCACCCAGTTTAGTTGTAGTTTTATTTCATTTGAACCACAAATATTTAAGTATCAAGGACTTGAGGCATTACTAGAGAGTAATATACAAAGTATAGATCTAATTGTATCAAAACGTTACAAATGACTTGGGATTAAAAATTACCACAAAGCATCAAAAACAAATGTCCGCTTGACTTTCATATGCCATGTCTATAAAGTCACGACATGTTGGTCGACAAGAGTCGTTTCCTGTATGCCTCCTTTGACACTGACAATGTGAATTATCATCATGACAGTAACACTAGGAGGCAAATAACAAACAAAACATGTGAAGTTTAATAAAATGGGGGAGAGAGAGAGAGAGCAATAGCAACACAGCAGTACTAATTTTATGCATAAAAATACAAATTTTAATAGGCATTTTGACAGATCCCCCACACACAATAGCAGCAAAAAATAAAAATTAAAAAAATAAGAAACCACAAAGACAGATATATGGATACATTGTGCTCACTTTCAAAATGAACTTTGATAAGTGGTGAAAGAGAAAGTGGCCACTGTACAGGCGACATTTGTACAGGTTTGACAGTATTTGTATTAACACCACAGTTTCAGTTTATTGATGACCCCCACCCTATCAATGACGTCGGATAATAACCACAAAACATTTAAGACAAATGTCCGCTTGACTTTCATATGCCATGTCTACAAAGTCACAACATGTTGGTCGACAAGAGTCGTTTCCTGTATGCCTCCTTTGACAATGACAATGTGAATTATCATCATGACAGTAACACTAGGAGGCAAATAACAAACAAAACATGTGAAGTTTAATAAAATGGGGGAGAGAGAGAGAGAGCAATAGCAACACAGCAGTACTAATTTTATGCATAAAAATACAAATTTTAATAGGCATTTTGACAGATCCCCCACACACAATAGCAGCAAAAAATAAAAATTAAAAAAATAACAAGAAACCACAAAGACAGATATATGGATACATTGTGCTCACTTTCAAAATGAACTTTGATAAGTGGTGAAAGAGAAAGTGGCCACTGTACAGGCGACGTTTGTACAGGTTTGACAGTATTTGTATTAACACCACAGGATTTCAGTTTATTGATGACCCCCACCCTATCAATGACGTCGGATAATAACCACAAAACATTTAAGACAAATGTCCGCTTGACTTTCATATGCCATGTCTACAAAGTCACAACATGTTGGTCGACAAGAGTCGTTTCCTGTATGCCTCCTTTGACACCGACGATGTGAATGATCATCATGACAGTAACACTAGGAGGCAAACACAAACTAGTAAGAGGTAAATAGCATACAACTTTTCATTTGATATAACCAAAACAAATGATCCTCTTTGCAGAAAGCATCAGATGTCGATGTCATAAAACAACATCACCATAAATCATTTCAGATACACAATAGAGTGAAAGAAAAATAAGACCAACTAGTTGGCACCCCCGAACCATCTGCAGAATCTAGACAAAATCCATGACAAACATGTGTAGAGCAGTATAATGGGAGTGCCTTTTGATTGAAAGAGGAAGAGCCGAATATGGGCCCGTTGGGGGATCGGGTTTGGTCAGGTTGGTTTGCTAGCCAGATTAAGGGCGTAAAGCAGCTACCGTGGCACAAGCTGATCGCGCCCGACTCGCCACCTAAAAAACAAACGCCACGAAGATACCAAACGTTTGGGGTTTCAAGGAGACAGCAAAGAAAAGCCAATTTGAAAATAAAATCACACAGGACAGTTTTTTCCCATTCAAAACAAAAGAGAGCAAGCAGTCCAAAAAAAAAGAAGACTTTTGTTAATTTTATATTGAAAAAAAAACAACAACAACAAAACAAAAAAAATCAAAAAAAAAAAACAACAACACATAAGACTAGACAAAATACTTCACCGCTGTAGAATTCCAAGCTTCCACAACAGCTTGGCAAAATGCCATGTAGAATATCTGGTTAATAAACAAACACATGCCACAGCATGTCTGCTTGATTTTCATATGCCGTGTCAACAATGTCACCACATGTTGGTTAACAAGCAAATCATGTTTTCTGTATGCACCTTTCGACACTGACAAAGTCAATCAGGACTCTGCCAGTAACACAAGGTGCAAAACTCTGATTAAATTACATGACATAGCAGAGGTGCTCTCCAACCACTCACAACCCAAGGTAAACTTTACACTCACCTTGGTAAAACTGCAAATCTTTGTACATTGCCAAAGCTTCCTTGAAGGCTTTTTGTATAGACACCTGGAACGCTTCTGTGTCTCTGCCGGGCTGAGTCTCCTTGATCTTTTCCAACAGACTGTGGGCACATACAAACAAAAACATTGGCGGTTTGGCTGAGGCAATGATACCAATCCCTAGAAAATAAATACTATCCCTGATGCCACTGCAAAGAGCAATCACTGCTCACAGGTTTTTAAAAAGTCTCTTTTAGTAAGGTTTAATAGTGCTCGCAACTGCATAAGGCAGGGCTGCCTACCTCAAAGTTCCCATATCAGGTAGATTCAGGTATTTTGGCCCCAAATCAGGTAGTACAAAGACAAAGTAGAAAAAAAAAGAAAAAAAAAAGATGATTGCTGCCCCATCGAACGCTCTTGCTTTCAGACTTTCCGTGATATTGGGTAATTATATTTATAAAACTTGTTTGAGCATGCACATGTGTGTGTGTGTGCACATCCGCAAGAAATGAGGTGAGGTTTTTAAAAAAAAATCATTTATGGATTATCATTCTGGGCACCTATCATTCAGTATTGAATCTGGAATTGAGTGCAGGGTGACTGCCAAACTGACTTCAAAAACCCTAGCCCATACAAATAGAAACTATATTAAAACATACTTCCCGACACTAGCATGGGACACTGATAAATCCTTGGAGACTTAGGTATGACAGACCAATTTTAACCAGTTTTATCCTAAAAATACAAAGTGAATCCTGATCTGGGCCTGAAGAGAGGCAAGAAGAACATCAACTGCCAAAACCATGCTTGGTTAGAGCAGTCACGTAGCAATGACCACGAAAAAACTTTTTTTGCCAGAAAGTGTTTGCAAATAGGTGCATTGTAGCTTTATCTTCACAGAGCATGGAACTTTTTGAATTTTTGAAATCCATCAATAAACAAAAAAGTTACGAATTTTTTAATCAATTAATTTTTGGTACACATTTATATAATGAAAAACCCCCCAAAATATGGGACGTTCTATGCTGAGTTTTGAGACAATATTCGTCATAACTCGCTCATTTCTCAGAGTATTTA